ATGTAAAACTATTATGCAATGCCCCGGTTAATTGTGGCGTCATTTTTGCTCGAAACTGAAAACATGCGCCCATTTTGTTGTGGAAGTTGTAACCTAGCATGAAGAATTAACAATGATGACTTAACACTATTATTAGATGAGATGTATTTAAAGTTGGTTGTGTTTGTTGCATTACATCTTTTAGTGTATTGCTTGAAAAATGAACAATTATTTGTTGTAAAAATAAACATAGAAAGTAATGAAACTAATATATCATGAATGCAAGATATAGTGCAATGTCAAAATGATATGACACCAAACCATCACAAAATTTGATTGTGTATTAGTATCACTATATTTGCTGATGTTGGTATATCACTAAAAAATATGATACCATGGTATCACAAAAATTCTTGATATGTATATATCATTAAAAAACGTGATGCATTGGTATCACAAAAATCCGTGTTACATATATATCACAGTTCTCAATGATGTTTATATGTCATAATTTTGTGACAAAAAAGTGATTTGTTAACGGTGACACAAAATTTTGTGTCACTTGCCCCGCTTTTCTGTGACACTTTCAGTGTGTCACTAAATCGTTTAGTGACACTAATTTACTGTCACTATAAGCCATTTTTTTACTAGTGCATCCATAGATCAACAAAATGTTGTGATGAGGGTTATGTCAACTTTTGGAGATAGCTCTGGTCTGGAAATTAAAAAGACAAATCTAAGATATTTGTGTCACCAAATGTCAGTTGAGAGGTCTCACGCACACTTGCAGAGGTAAGCGGAATAAGCATCTCCAAAGACCTGGGAAAGTATCTCGAGACTCCTATAATTCACAAACGGAAAAATAAAGCACACTATCGATACATATTGGACAAAGTCACGAAACGACTTGCTGGTTGGAAGCAGAAATGTTTGAGCATGGTAGGACGTCAAATTCTCATCCAATCCTCCTCTTCTTCCATACCTCAATACTCTATGCAAGGTATGCTACTTCCAGTGAGTACGTGCAGGGAGATAGACAGGATTAATAGGAATTTCTTATGGGGAGACAGTGATAATACTAAAAAGATACATCTGGTATCTTGGGAGGAGGTGTGCAAACCAAAACAAAAGGGAGGGCTACACTTGCGCATGGCGAGAGACATGAATGTATCACTAGTGAGTAAGATGGAGTGGGAATTAATCCAAAACAAACCAAAACTCTGGGTGAAGGCAATCACAGAAAAGTATATGAGAAACACAGACTTTTGGCATGCCGAACTTAAACCGTCAGCATCTCACACTTGGAGGAGCATCATCCGTACAAGGAGTCTGCTTTGGAAGGGCGTCCATCATAAAATTGGAAACGGAAAAGCAACAAGATTCTGGGAAGATGTATGGGTGGGGAATGAAACACTTAGTTCCACCCTTGACTGTCAGTTACCACAAAATGCATCACAAGTCAAAGTGGCGGATTTCATATCCGAAAATGGTAACTGGAACATTGAGGCTCTGCCATCCACTCTTGAAGAGAGCATAGTAGACTTGGTGCGGGCAATTCCCATCCCTATTAACAGAAACCAAGAAGACAAGCCCATTTGGGGATTTTCAGACACATGTGAGTTCAGTGTAAAATCAGCTAACTCTTTACTTTTCCTTCAGTTTTCTGACGAGGATGTGGACTGGATATGGAAAATCCAAGCTGCCGAACGAGTTCGTATCTTTATGTGGCTGGTTTGGAAGTCTAAGATACTCACCAACAAAGAAAGAATGCATAGACAGCTCACAGAGAAACCATCTTGCCCGATATGCAATCTGGAAGACGAATCCATCCGCCATCTGCTCTGGGAGTGCTACCTAGCCCAGACATGTTGGGTAAGAATACCATTACCATCGAGTGCAGGGCTGGACCGATTCAGCAACGTGACAGAATGGTTGAAATTCAATTGCAGAGGAAAGGATACTGAAGGAGCCGCTTGGGCTTCCAGGTTTGCCTACCAAATTTGGCATATATGGAAAGCTCGGAATGAGGTAGTTTTCCACAACAATATCAAACAACCAGAAGACATAAATAGATTGGCTCTCTCTAATTCCTTGGAAGCAAGACTCTCACTTCAGAGAACAAAGTTCACACGACAAGGAGGCCCTACAATAGTCAAATGGTTACCCCCGAGGATGGGAAATCTCAAACTTAATACTGATGGATCACAAAAGAAAGATGGCAGCGCGAGCGCATGAGGGGTCGTCCGAAGCAGTCATGGAGAGTGGGTCATAGGATTTCTTTTGAACGTGGGAAAAACAAATAGCTTTAACGCCGAGCTTTGGGGTCTTAGGCAAGGGTTGATGTTGGTAAGAGAAAACGGGTGGATCAACGTGGAAGTGGAAATGGACTCTAAACCAGCTATTCAGGCGGTCAAGAAACTAACACCGCATACTGAAGAAAATATTTCAGCATTGGTCCAGGACTGTCGAGCACTCCTTGAAAATTGTCATGGACTCACGCTGCAACACACATTACGAGAAGGAAATAGAGGCGCAGATTTCCTCGCCAACATGGCTCACACGGCCCCACGAGGGCTTACAATCCTGAATAACCCGCCCGAAGGAATTGACCGCATACTTTGGGAGGATGGCAATGGCCTAGAATTGGTTAGACCATAATAACTTTGTTTGCTTGTTTATTCCTTTTCGCATTGCTATTTCTTTTCCGATGTACCAAAAAAATAAAGGGAAAAGGGGCAAATAAGCCCTCGAACTAATAAAACAAGTGCATATAAGCCCTTTTGTAGGAGGTTCTGTCCGATCATCGTCATTTGGGGAGGTTCTCGGTGGAATTTGTTGATGAATTTTTTTGAGCATCTTCTTCGTTAAGTCTAGTTTAGCCATATCAAATTTCAGCTAAAAATTCAACCGGGAAGGCACTCAAATGATTTTCTGAACTACACTGCGTTGTTTAACTGCGCAGTTATTTTCAAAAATTCATTTGACTGTCTTCCCGATTGATTTTTTAGCTGAAATTCGGTATGACTAAACTAGACTTAATGAATAAGATGCTCAAAAAAATTCATCACAAAATTCCACCTGGAACCTCCCCAAATGACGATAGACAGACGAAACCTCCTACAAAAGGGCTTATTTGCATTTTTTTTATTAGTTCGAGGGCTTATTTGCCCCTTTTCCCAAAAATAAATGAATATCTGTGACCCATATTCTTTGCTACTTCTATGCACCGATTTTCCAGAACCACACTTCGTATAAATGTGCATGGGTTTCTATCTTGTCTTGCATATTTACTTCCCTCGTAAATGGTCTATAGTCTATTCTCATCTAGAGTCTTAGCATCCTTAATTATTATTTTACTTACTACTTGATACGGAGCACTAATATCAAATTATTATGAACTGGTTTCAATTCTTCTTCTACGAGACTATGATAGAGATTATATATATCCAGCTAGATGGAAGGAAAATGTACGTAAGTGAGATTACATGTTCTTTTCCATAGTACTACTACTACGTAATATTTAAACAAATACCGGATTATAATTTCAAATTTTTGGGTAATTACATAATACACTTTTCCAGCTTTTATTACGTAGTACGGAATAATTTTACTTCGTTTAGAAATTTAAATAAAGGAAAAGAGACAGTACATAATTATGTTTATACCTGCAGGCGGCAGGGGATGGTGATTACTGAAGAACTCAAACTCTTGAACTGATTCATGCTGATAACGTGTTGTGAAATGAAAAAGATGAAGAACAGATTAAAGAGATAGATATATTAATAAAAGCTCTAAATTACTTCTTCTTAATATCTGAGATTTTCTGAATTTCTGAATTAATTTACAAGTGATTGATCAAGCCCTATTTATACTAGTTGGGCTTGGTGATGAATCATCAAAGAGTAATTCTACACATCTTGCTGGCATCATTAAAACTAGCCATCTATCTATCTATGATTACAAGGATGGTAAGAAGCTTATTGTCCTGATTACAAGGATGATGACAAGGATGAAAAATTCACACTTTTCATTTCCAGGGTTTTACAACAGTATGAAGATAACTCGTACTATATACTACTCCCTCTGTCCCCTTAAGTTTGTCCCGTTTTACCTTTTTCGTCCGTCCCACTAAGTTTGTCCCATACCATATTTGATAACATTTGAGTGGTTAGAATTCATTCTTACTTTATTTACACTTTATCAATTCAATACCAACCACACAATTCCACTTTTTCTTAAAAACCACACCACACCCCTCCGTCCCAAACTTAGGGGGACGGAGGGAGTACTATTTGTTTCCCGGTGTTCTATTCTCTAACTTTCTGCTTTCATTGTCTAATTTTCCATTTTCAAATTTGAAAATATGTTATTAATTTTTTTCACACGGTTTAGGACCAGCTGAAAGACAGAAAGTGCGGCCCTTTCCGGAACCGGACTTGTTACAACTCAAATAGGGCACCCAGTCTCAGGTATAGGAAAGTTGGGACCGTAATCGGTCTGTCCCGGTCGATCCCAAGTTCCCAACAGCTAGTTTAAATTACTCATTTAACTTTTTTCTATTGGTTGGCAATTCAATAATTCTTTTGAAAATCTTCTCTTTGAAAAAATGATTTGAAAAAGTGGAATTAGATCAGGACCCGGTCGGACCGCATTAGGACCACCCGATCATCGATTGAGCCGGACCGAGACTAGAGTGGGACCAGAACAGAGCGGGACGGAGTCCACCACTAAACGTCAGTAGGCAATTCATTAGAGGAGCAATGCAATTTCCGCATATTTCAAATTTGGAAAACTAATAAGGACCCATTTATTTACAATCATTTTTGAATTTTCTTTTATGTTCTCTAATTTTCTGTTTTAGTTTTTCAGATTTTCATTTTCAAATACTCCATAGTCCATATCAAACACATTATTCAAATTTTTCACTCGATTTTGGAAGCACTCAAAAGACTGTACGGTCCGTTTCTAAGTGGACCTGATACTGCCTGAATAGGGTACCAGTCCTAGATACAGGAAAGTTGGGAAGGAACAGGCCCAATGGGGTTCCTCGCTCTGGCGGGTAGAGTCAACAGAAGTCTGAAACAGAGGAGGCATCACAATGTTTCCTTATCTGTTTCGTTGTGCATTCTTCTTTACGATGCGGGAAACCAACTAACAAAGTAAAGATAAAAGTGCACACCATAAATCAAGCGAGTCATGGCGTTAACCAGCGATTTGGAGTCGCCGGAGCCTGAACCACCACAGACCGATGACGGCTTTGTGTGGGATGTAAATACCCAGCTCTACTACCATTCCAAGTCGGTCGCTATTTATGAATCTGTACAGTTCGAGATTTCTTTATGTGTTAAAATTCCTTTTCAAATTAGGGCTCTCCAATTTCAATTGACTTCATGACTTCATGCACAAAAGAAGCTTTGCGGGTATTTGAAGTTTTTATTGTCCATGTGTCAAGCATTTGATATTGTAATTTGGTTCTCCATTGACGCAGCACTGGGTTTTATTATGACCCTCAAGCGGAATGGTATTACAGCAGTAGAGACGGCCATTATTACAAATTTGAAAACGGGAACTATATTTTGATTCATTCTGATCAGGTAGTATTTTCAATTATACCTTTTAATCTTCTCTCCCTGTTATTTCTCTGAAGTCAGTCTCAGTTTATTGTTATTCATTATCTTTTACATAATGTTAAATATTATTTTGGTGTGTGGCCAGGTTGATGTGTCTCAGAGGGGTACTTCTGATTCTACTGGTCCTAATGTTGCTTTCCAAAATGAACAGTATACATGTCCTCATTATCCCAATGAAGAGTCTTCATCTTTGGTTGAATTCTATGATGAAACAGCAGGAACTAATTCTGTTAAAAATTCTGAGGGTGAGTAAGTTGCATTGTTCGCTTTTAGCAACTTGGCCTTGATATAGTGTTTATTTATATTGAAACCAAATAGATTTGCAAGTGACTATGTGTGTTTTTTAATTTAATTTAAATTTCATGGGGTACAGGTAAAGTAGTCTTCATAATTTTATTATTAAACTTTTCATAGCGAAGATGATAACCATTAAGTTGATAACCTTTTGCATCGGCATTGAATCATTTAGTGAATAAAGATTCAGTCTTTCATGCTATCCATGCTCTAGTTTTTCCTTTCTTATGGTGTACTCTTGATTCCGAAGTTAATTCATTGAAACTAATGCTTATCTCACGATCTAATCCCATCATAAAATCGTTGCCCATTAACTTTTACATATTAACTGTTAAGCCATTCCAGATTCTTAATACAGTGGTGTTAATTTAATGCTATTAGTCTTTTTCTTGTTTTTCTGGTATAAGCAGACCATAAAGGTGGTATTGAAAATGAGTTGCCAGAAAATCCACCACCATCTGAGTGGTATGTACTTAAACGCCATTCTTACCTTAATGCCTTAATTTTGGGTATGACAGGTTTGTTTTATAATCTTACCATTTTACCAAGCATGGATTTTAATATTAGGCTTGAAGACACTCTGATTGATCTGTATCTTTCCAATTATCCAAATCAATCTACACATGCTATTTCTGACACAACAGTGCCTGAGGACAATAATGGCTTATTAGATGGTTTGAATGTATCTGCAGCTGGTTTGTATAACACAACTACAATATATTGTAGAACTATTGTTTCTGAACTGGACTACTGAAGCTTACTGAATTTTGTCAAGATGCAGGGAGTGATGATATGAATGAACTTGAGGAAGGTGAATGGGTTCCAGATGACCATCTATTGTCTTCATGTTCAAATGAAAATGCATTGGATGAAGGTTTGTGAATTAGATCTCTCTAGATAATTTGAAATCTTCTAATTATGTTCGACTTCTCACTTTGTGGCCATCAACTCCCTTTTTTGTTGCTCAATAGTGCTCCTTATTTTGATTTGAGATTCATGTTGTCATAACTCATACGTGTCGATCTGCATTGATCTACCATGATGTATATATGTGCGAGTGCATTTGTTGAGTCAGCTATCAATTTGATCCTTTGACTTTTTCTAGTAATTTAGTTCTGGAGCTTAAGAAGACAAATTTCTAAAGCCTTAAATGCACATGCCAAATCCACATCTGCAAAGCAGGTACTTCTTTAGAGGAAGAAAACTGGCAAGCTCAGTATGGTCAAGTTACTCGACCAGATGAAGATTCATTGTTATCCGATATACATGTGATCAATTTGTGGGATTGGTCGCTGGTAAAAAGGAGAAGGAAAGAAAAGAAACACAAGGTGGCGGTACTTGTTGGACGGTTAGCAAAACGCTCCATTAAGTTGCATCCATCAATGCCTTCCAGCGGTGGGCTTCTCAGAACTGCTCCTATTTGTGAAGTTCATCTTGATCTGGTACGAGTCAAATCAGGTTTGCTATTTCCCTGGTTTCAATTTCGAAAATTTTTATACAAATTTAGCCTGCTTTAGAGCTATATAGTCAGCTTTTGTTAGCTCCTAGGCGGGTCTAGGCAGGGATTTTTATAAGAGAGGTCATAACAATGTGGGTTCCTGATAAAAAGAATACTCTACTTTTGGTCCCAGGACTATTAGGTTATTTTAACTGAAAAAACCCATACTGGCAAGAAATCTATAGACATGCACCAAAAGTGAAAGTCAGTGACCAAGGTGAAAATTGACCTAAATGGGATCAAAAGTGGAAATCTTTTATGATAAAAACAGCCACTATCTATATATATGCTTGCTGGTAAGTGGTAGTATAACTGGATCCAAATGGTACAATGATGACCCTGAATTATTTGCCTCTAGCTCTGATTTTTTTACTCTTGGTTCTATTAACTTAAAAGGTGTAGCCGTGTAGCTGCTGAAGCCTTCTCCTTATACAGGCAATATTTATAGGCTGCGGAATCCCAGCTCGCAATACTTGGCTTCTTTGTCTAACTATGATTCCTCAAACCCAACAAAAGACTGGTGCTTTCCTCAAATTTTAATGGACAGGCTAGTCAGAACAGATACTACATCTAGTCAGGGATGTGACTCAAAAGCTCCTGCTGGTGTTGTTGGTCAGAAGGATATTAGTTTGTCATCTGAGCAGATCAGTGCGTTTAATAAGGTTTATTGTCCATATATAGTGGAGTTTGTGCACTTCACTTGAACATTGAATCTTTTGAGTCTTACTCATAAGTTCTTTTTTCTTTTGCCATTTGGTAATTCTAGAGCAGAGGTCATGTTTATAGAGATAGAGCTGCAGAGAGACGGGCATTACATAATGGGATCGGTGTAGGTCCAGGGCAAAAGAGCTCATTTGATTCAGGTCCAAACACTTCCACATCAGTTTCTCCAGAGGAAGCAATGGCTGAATCCCTGAATGCATCATTTGGAACTGGCAGTTATGCCAGAAGAGTTCTCGAAAGCATGGGCTGGAAAGAGGTAAACTTTGAGAGCAATTTTCCTTATTCCTGTTCACCCACCTGTAGTGGGCCGGGTTACATCGTCCACTGGTAACCTAACGTCACTACAAGCCGCATGACAAATGATTGCTTACAGTGAAGAGTGTGCGCTGACCAAGGTTTGTAATAAGAACTTGGCAGCTGCCTTCGCCACTACTCAGTTAGGATGGGGGGTGGTGGGAGTGCTATTTTCACATCTTTCCCCTTGCCTCTCAAATGCCGATTGCATGACTGCTCTTATTGTGACTGTTTCTATTTGTTAACTGATATGGATAAGCATGTTATATGTTTTTGCAGGGAGAGGCACTTGGTAGCAGCAACAAGGGTTTGATTGAACCATTGCAAGCAAAAGGAAATATGGGAAATGCTGGACTGGGATGGGATCATAGAGGAAGACGCTCTTCATAAGTGCTTCTTCGGTTACCACATTTATGTTGATCGGCCTATTTAGTTGGAAATCTCCTAAATATCAACTAATTTAATTGAGCCAGCTCATCAAACACTAGTTTATTTGAATGAAATGAAGAAAACAAACTTATCATTTCTGAATTAATAATAGTAATACATGCTCAAGATAATGACATGTGTTGAAATAGTTGAATCATCTGCATACAGTAAGCAAATTCAGTTCAATTATCGTCCCATCCATCCATTTCTGAGATAACTCAAAATCTAGATTATACGTAGTTTTTCATAAAATAAAAAGATGTGTTTGAGAACACACTGCTGTAATATACTCCGTATAACTAGTCGTTCTTATAAACACCGTTTTCCTGAATTTCAAAATATGTAAATTGTGATTATTTTTCCAACAGCGTTTTCTTTCACTGTATCATACACTTCTGCCTTTAAAATCTACTAGTATTTCTTTTTTACTGAAACGCTGTTAATTATTTTCAAATCATTGTCTGTTCAAGTTAAAGCATTATAGTCGGTTTAAGTTAAACATTATGTTTTTGAAAAAGCTTAAAAGCAAACAGCTTTTCGAGTATTTTTTGAATTATTACCTATCCTATATCATTTTCCTGACCCATCAAATGTCTTAAAACAGATATGAAATATTAATAATTTGTTCTAAGACTATTTTCTTAAATTATTATTGAAATAAAACCCATAAACTCACAAACCAATGGTGCATTATTACCCATAAACACTCAAAATGATCAACATCGTTAGATGGGAATGTCTTACTATCCATCCATTCAGACAACTGCATTATAAAATTAAATGTTAATGTAAACCCAATCAAATCAGCATCATAAAGACCAAGTGTGATAAGTGACTGCAAATTTATAATGTTTAAGGGTGAACCAGCATAGTGTGGTCTTGATCGCTTATAATACTCTTCGGAGCGCAACTCTTCATACAGTTAAGCCATGCTCACACAAAAGTTTGTGTATCTTGGTTTGAGATTAAGCCACGTCCAAATAACATGGATTGACCATTATAATTCACCCCTCACAAAGGGTGCAAATGACATGTCATATCGGTTAGTGAGATATGTTGTGGTAAACATAATGACATCTTAAAAACATTTGTACGCATATCTACATCGATTATCGGTTAAGAATACATTCCTAAAGTGTGACTCATCATCCAATCAACCGTAAAAAAATGAGGCATTGTGTTTGCATTTTTCCAAAAAAAAAACTTGGATAGCCATTGCATCACCACTTCCTAACCTAAGGTGTTGAACTTTATCAATGTAATTCCTACAATCCTTTTCAATAAAAGGAAGGACGTCATATCTCCCCCCCCCCCCCCCCCCCTTCAACAACAACTGAGTTAAAAGTCTTATGAAGTGATATTCACGCAACATCATTAAATCTCAAGTTGTCTCTTAACTTGGGGTGTCAATTTCCTATTACAACGAAGTGTTCTAGCTTTCATTGGACTCATTGGGTAGTTATGTTCTAAAAACATTTTTGAAATTTCCCATGACCCGATATAAGTAGTATGTGCTCTAATTCTAGCTGAACAAGATGTCTGCATTGAAGTTTGAGGCTTCAAACAATTTTGTGCCTTGGTACGTCTACATCCCGCACTTGAACATTATTACAATTGATGCCATGTTTCCCCCATTTCTGTCCTAGGTTGAAGTTCTTTTGTAAAACTCTTCTGTGATAAAATTCTAACATATGTTTTGTAAAACTCAAATATCGCTTCTGTGATATCAAACTCCATACCCACTTCCAGAGCTTTAACATTAACAACTTCCTTCCTTTGTTATGTCTTTCTGCATTTGTTATTTAACACATGTACTTATCTATAATGTGGAAGTTATGTACCCTACTTACAATCATTATGTATATACAAACACTATTATGTACAAATAGACAATATTATGCACATACAGACAGTACTATGAACATACAGACAATATTATTTGAACAAGGACAATATTATGCACATAGAGAATGTTATAATCATATTCTCAAAATTCCTGACAAACTACTCTATAAACTTCAAAGAATGAGAACATGAGGTGTGAACCCTTACAAAACTGGTCAAAATGGCGAAGAACGCATACATACAATATTATCGCAACATATTACATACACAGTACTTATCTGTACAAACAAAGCCTCAATGTGTGGACACAAACAAATAAGTTCTCTTGCTACATACACATACAACACTTCTTGTCTATCCACATTGGTAGATGACTTGGTTGTGCACAGATATTGCATTTACAACTTGTCAATGCGTTAAAAATGTTGTTCATAAAAATGATGACAACGCAACATAAACACCTACCAAGCTCATTCGCGACTTGGATCCTATATGTCATTTGTTCTTTGTCATGTATGGCCGTCGGCATGTCGGTTCCACCTACACTCTCCGAAAATATATTTCCATGTCCAGGCCATGCCAACTTCATCACCACAGATGTCTATTGTACTCAAATCATTCAGCCAACAATGGTGGCCGCCACCTAGTCGAAGGTTGTTGCTCGTCACTTGTTGAAGCGGAAGAGAAGTCGCGGTTTTGAGAAAGGGAAGGACACATACAAAAAGAAAAATGAGGCAAACAAATTGGGGTTGCACTTGTGGGCGAATGACTCAAAAAAATAGGCTTTATATATAGTGTACACGGGCATGTAAACACAGTGTACACAAACATTTTTTAATCACCTACTGGCTACTCACTACTGCATCAAACAAACTAGCATTCAAATCATATAAACATCGAATCTACTCCGTTGAAACAAGTACTCCCTTCGTTCCATAAAATTTTTCCTGATTGGACATTAATTGTAGTATGAGAAAGTGAGAATAAATTGAAAATGTATGTGTGTGGTTGAGTAAGAAAAAGGTAAATAAACGTTAGCTACACAAAAATTTCCAAAAAGGCAAGTGAGAAGAATTTTAATTGACGGAGGGAGTACTACACTATTAAGTACGGAGTATTACCTTCGTCTCGATGAACTTTGTCAATTAAGTAAGTGAGAATAAAAAAAGTAAAAAACGCGTTGTTGATGTTTGGGCAAATGAGAGATAAATGAACAGAGCCACAAATTAATTGCTTTAATTGGAAAATGATATTTTTTTTGGAATAACCAAAAAGGGGAAGTTGACAAAGTCCAATGAGACAGAGGAATACTCCATCCATTCCATTCTAAGGTTCCAATTATCTTTTTTAAAAAGTCCCATTTAAAGAATTTATTTCTATTTTAAGAAATAATTAATACTTTACATTACAATTTAACCATAAATATTCAAAATAATAACATCTATAACATCATGTTATAATAAATGAACCCATTATATTATAGGTCCATCAATATTACTCCTTATTTCTCAAAATAATACCAGCAACTTAGATTCTTTGCAAACCTTAACGGATACATTCCAGCCCTTTGACTCAGGCTATGGTTTGCGAGTCTCCGGTCGCCGGAGAGACGATAGGAAGGTGAAACGGGGATGGGTCTAAAAATAGGTGGGCGAGTGGAGAAAGTGAATGGAAAAGAGCTCAGTTATGCCGAGTTCGCGGAAAAGTACATGAATCGAAACCAACCCGTAATCCTCACCGGTCTCATGGGCGATTGGAGATCCTGCAGAGACTGGGTAACCGATGCTGGAAAGCCGAATCTTCCGTTCTTATCCACTCACTTTGGAACCTCCAAAGTTCAGGTATGGTGGATTCTATTCGACAGCGAAATTCATATAATCTTTTATACTCCCTTCCTCATGCTTCAATTAAAAAAATAAATTTGACTTTACTGTGGAGTGTTTACTGTGGAGTGCACTGTTTAAACACTGTTTGAGGTTGGTTGGAAACTTTTGACACTCTATTTGCCAAATAAGGAAAGTTTTGAAATATGAAATTAATTTCGTGACTGCTCAAAAAGTTGTTTACCGGAAGGAGGGAGTATTTATTACTCCGTACTAAATAAAATTGATGTCTGTTCAGGTTGCTGAATGTGGTACCGGAGAGTTGAATGATGAGAGGAGAATAGAAATGACAGTTTCTGAGTTCATAAGCTCTGCTCAGTTCAGCAAATCTACTGATTGTGATAAATCCTTGCTGTATTTAAAGGATTGGCATTTTGTAAAGGTGGGTGTGATTTTTAAAGGTTAACGACATTGCTGCTGCTTTGTTACTGGCATTTGATGGGTCTGAACATTGTGCCCTGTTTGTTTCAGGAGTTTCCAGAGTACATTGCCTATAAAACCCCATTACATTTTTGTGATGACTGGCTGAATCTGTATCTTGACAAATACCGCATGCATACTGATCCTGATATTTACAATCAGGGAAATGAAATAAGTTGCTCAGACTATCGTTTCGTATACATTGGACCCAAAGGTTTGTGCAAAAAAAAAAAACAGAACTCCTTTGTTGGTAGAATGCCCATTTTCCCGTTTCTAGTACTCCGTATCTTTTATTTCCAATCTTTGATCTTGCTTGAAGGAACATGGACGCCTCTTCATGCTGATGTTTTCAGATCATATAGTTGGTCGGCAAATGTGTGTGGTAGAAAACAGTGGTACTTATTACATCCAGATCAACATCATCTGATACACGACAGGTATAAGTAAAAATTTATCTTTTTCTTGGCAGCATCAGAACTTGTTTCTAAATGAATTCCCATTTAACATTTTGTTGTATGTCAACTCTGCCATGCCAGAATATAAAATTCTTGATATCATGTTTACACGGTGGTCTTTCCATCTAAAAAAGTAAAGAATAGATAGCTATGCCCCGTATCCCCACAAAAGTGTCATCATTTACAGAGAGGAGTATATCTGTGATAGACATTATATAATGTTTTTTTTTTGTAAATCTAGCTGATTAGTCATGTAGAGGTGATTTGGAGGATATCAATGCTTATAATTAGGGCCTGAATTTGATGTTTCTCTTCTCTAATTGTACGGACCTTTCATATTCATACTTATTCTTGTAGAGACGTGAAAATACTTAGTCCTTTTGTTCTTGCAGGAACATGAGAGTTTGTGTATATAATATCTTTTCAGATGCTAATGAAGCCAAGTTTCCTGGATTTAAAAAGGTATAGTTGCCTATTAATCTTATTCTTATTGTTGTTGTTTTTGCTGCTGCCGTTGTTGTTCTTGTTGTTGTTAACTAGTTAGTATTACTACTACTACTACTACTACTATTTTTGGGGTTGTTGATCATTGTCGAATGCTTCTCCTGTCCACTTCATACTCTATAGTCTTACTTGTTCTCCATAGATGAGTTTGTCTATCTATTTAATAACAAAAAGTTATTTTTCAATGAATCCAGGCTGTTTGGTGGGAATGCACTCAGGAGCAAAATGAAATAATCTTTGTCCCTAGCGGATGGTATCATCAAGTTCAGAATTTGGTATCTCCATTATTGTTAATACAGGAATAACTCGCTGTATCAAAACAACTCTTTCGAACCTTGTCTTAATGAAAATGTGTTGCTAATAACAATTAAATCTGCTCTTAGCATACTCCACACATCTTAACTACGGAAATCCATTGTTACAATAGCTTCTGCAGTTTAAAAAGAACACAAATTAGTTTATCTGGAGGGCCTTAGGTCAACTCATTAGCATTTGAAACTATGTAATAGCTTGCTGGATGCAAAATAAGACCATCGTGAACATTTTCGTATAATCTGCACTAAGAAAATCAGATGAGTTGCTCTTCTCTCTTCTTCATCATTCTAGCCATTCCGACTATGGAGTGAGTTTCAAATGATCTTCCCTTAAATAATAATTCATCTCATATCAGATGCTGGAGTAAGTGGCCAATCAGCATGTGCTACTGCCTTTGTTGTGGTAGAGAACATAGTGTTTACTTGGCTCTTTGGAATGTTTATTGAATATGCTAGTGGTTTAATTTTTTTATATTTTTTTCCTGCTAAGGTTATAAATGTTACATAACTTACAGGAGGATACTATATCCATAAATCACAACTGGTTCAACGCATATAATCTACCTTGGGTGGTAAGTTTCGCTTCTGCAACTATAGGCTAGATCACTAGAAGCAATCCGTTGTACCTCTCTCTCTCTCCCCCTCCCCCTCCTTCACCCTCTCCCTCTCTTCTAAAACTAACTCTCATGATATGACCTGATCAGTGGGATTTGCTTCTGAGAGACTACCATGAGGCTCAGGAATACATTGAAGACCTTAAGGGATGTGATGAATTCGAGGAGCTCTGTCAGCGCAACCTTGCTGCAAATACAGGTATGCTGTATGTTATAGGTAAATTACTAGTACCCGTGTCTGTACATTTCAAGATAAAACAGTTTGTTATTCAGGTTTTATAAATTTATACTACGTATATGATAATAATGAAATATATCATGTAACTCTAATATCAGACTGCTTAGGGGGCAATCAGCTTCCATTTCATGGATGGCTGGTTCATCAGCTCGCAGAATTTAATGTGCGTACTACTACTCACATTATGACGTTGTAATAGCCCTATCAAATATCAATATGATATGAAGTGTAGGTATTGATTTGCTGATATCAGTTGAATATTTAACGGTTCATTTGCTCTAAATTAGTCACTGGTGCTTATGTTAGGCACTCTTCTCCTGAGATGTAGGGCTCAAAGAGGTCGTCTCCTAGTGACGGTCTCGTGGTAAGATGGACCCATAATGTGATAGGGACACATCTAACCCGAACAAAGAAGATAAATACTTTGGAAAAGTTTATTCTAGAAGTAGTTAGATTAGTAGTTATTAGTTGAAATTGTGTTAGTAGCTAATAACTAAAGTCGGTTGAGCTGGACTACTATAAACAGAATAACTCAGGGAGGGGAAGGCAGGCTGTTTTTGGACTATTGTCTTGGGACTGGGAAGTTAGAGTTCTATCTCTTTCTTTTGGGGGCTTCGGCCATTGTTCTGGTTGATCTTCAGTAAAGTGAGCTTTTGTTCTTGTTATTCATTCTGTAATTTTGGATATACCTGGATTGTTCTATCATAAGGCAATACTTTTGAAGTAGTAAACCATAGTTTTCACAAGAAAGTTGTTTGAAACGTATTACATTCTGGGATAGGTGTCAGTTTGGTCCTCGAAGTTGCAAAAAAGGAGTCAAATAAGTCCTTATATAGAAGATTCTGTCCGGAAGTGTCATTTGAGGTGGCTCCCGGCGGAATTTTTTGGTGAAATTTTTTGAGCATTTTATTCATTAAGTCTAGTTTACTCATATCAAATTTCAGATAAAAATTCAATCGGGAAGACATTGAAATGAATTCTTGAAGATAATTGTGCCGTTAAAAGCGTAGTTATCTTCAAGAATTCATTTGAATGTCTTCCCGATTGAATGTTTAGCTGAAATTTGGTATGAGTAAACTAGACTTAATGAATAAGATGCTAAAAAAAAATTATCAAAAAATTCCACCGAGAGCCATCTCAAATGGCACGTCCGGACATAATCTTCTATATAAGGACTTATTTGACACCTTTTTTACAAGTTCGAGTACCAAACTGACTAGAGTTATGGTCACACCTACAAATTCTTATTTAAACAACTTTCTATCATAAGGCAATACTTGTCCCATCTCTCTGTGAGACCAAGAGACACAAGTTATGGTCAAAGTATTTTTAAGATCTGCCATAAACTGGACAGATTATAAAAGTACATAGTACACGAGAGAGGATTATCTTATTGTTGTTTGCCTTCAATAGAGTATTTCAACCACCTCATGGGTGTACTTGCGAGGTACTAGCAGGACAATAAGTCATGGCCTGGGACTTGTTAAATTTAGGCATCATCGTCTTCTTTTGTTAAATAATAATACAACTCTGCCTCTTTCCTTCTCCTGTAGGCATGAATATCATCGATTTCTTTGTCTTCATGGTGCGGTTAGCCTTTTCCAACATGGCACAACTTTACAATCTCACCACTGGAGCGATGGCAAGGCATTTTGTTTTCAACCTCGAATGCATACGAAGCATTGCCTTGAAAATGAAATCCATAGATATGGATGTGAAGCATGGAAATTTAATTGATGATAGAAGGGAGGACTTTGAGGATCACTTGCTTGAAGAACTATGCGCTTCTCTGGGAAAAACATATGGTTCCATACATGGGCACTCACACTCTCAAGTGGATGCTCACACCTACAAATTCTTATTTAAAAATTTAGATTCAGAATTTCACATCCTGTGTTGTCGTGTACGTGATTGTGAAGATTTAGTCGCCCTTATAAATGACACTTTGATTAAATTAGGTGGGTCTTTTGTTGCTTAGAGTTTGGTCTACAGCAAATTTGTACTTCTATAGTAATTTACTAACATAATAGTGTAATCGCAGAGTTTCTTGATTGCACAACTAGCTGTTTCAGTTCATCACTTTGGAACTAAGAATAATGGGATTTAACAACATTATTTCTATATTGGACCTGATTTTAAAATGAAGATTATGGAGAGGGAAAAAGAAAGATGGGGGCTAGGCCGCTAGGGACTAGGGTTTCTCCAAAGTACATGTAACTTACAAGCATGGAAGATGAGGAATGAATGAGTCGTACTTTCTTTATACAATTTGCATGAAAAACAAAATTTTAGATATTCATAGAGCTATATTAACACAAACAATGCCTCTGTTTGGATATTGGTGTCTAAGGCCAAAATGCCGTTTTTTAACAAATGGAAATGCTGCAATTTTCAACGTGTTGGCTACAAAACGCCAAAAAACAAACAGGGCCAATGGATTCAGTGATTTTGTTGGATGCTAGAGAACGATCAAAAAGAAAATGGAATCAAAAAATAATGGGAAAAGGGGCAAATAAGCCCTCGAACTACTCAAAAAAGTGCAAATAAGCCCTTTTGTAGGAGGTTTCGTTTGTCTATCGTCATTTGGGGAGGTTCCCGGTGGAATTATTTGATGAAATTTTTTGAGCATCTTATTCAATAAGTCTAGTTTAGTCATACCGAATTTCAACTAAAAAATCAATCGGAAAGATAGTCAAATGAATTTTTGAAGATAACTGCGCAGTTAAACAACGCAGTGTAGTTCCGAAAGTCATTTGAGTGCCTTCCCGGTTGAATTTTTAGCTGAAATTTGGTATGGATAAACTAGACTTAATGAAGAAGATGCTCAAAAAAATTCATCAAAAAATTCCACCGAGAACCTCCCCAAATGATGATGATCGGACATAACCTCCTACAAAAGGGCTTATATGCACTTTTTATATTAGTTCGAGGGCTTATTTGCCCCTTTTCCCAAAAATAATTTTAAACGAACGTAAAAAAAGAGTTATACTATTGCTGTCTTAAAATATATTTAAATCAAATTCTAAATTTTGAAAGTAATAGTTTCAGTTGATAAAATATCCAAATTTATGATTTGGTCATTCGGACCGTGTGAAACCCATCCCAAGACATTTGCAAATAGAGTCAAACCCATTCGAATGTAGATAATTGTTGCCTTCACATGTTCCGCGCTGTTCTTAATCGTTCATGATTAATGATTACGTGCATCGCTCCATAATAATCCTAAACAGCACAAAACCATACGTTATCATATAGTGAGAGACGATTAAAAAAACAATTATCCAATGTCTCATACTCTCATCAAATGAATTTGATAATGTGACGAGGCCAACAATTAATTTGCAAAATCGGTGCATAATTATCACTTATCAACATCTATGGAATTAAGATAATTTAATTTTGATAAGATATAGTTTAGCTCAAGGCTCATGCTATATATGAAGTGACATCCTAATGTTCAACAATCTTAAAAACTACTCCCCCCACCCCTCAAAGCTTAGCCAATTTTTTTAGTTGTCCCACTCACTAACTTTGTGACTTTTCCTTTTAAGTAAATAATTTGTGGTTTAAGTTAATTATTTTTTCTCTGCATAAATTTCAAATACATATTTTTTACTTTATTGATCTCTGTGTCGATCAAATTTGAGAAAATTTTAAGGAACGGGTGGGAGTCTCCAATACCTCAATACGAAGAGACCAAATAGTATGACAACACTCACAAGTGCTATTGACTTTATGATTAGACGAATTGGATATTTGGATATAGTAAAATATAAAAACAATATAAATTTAAAACAATAGAAATTAAACAACATTTATCGAAAATTAAATTTTCATAAACTACTAACTTACTTCCATTAATTAAAAATTAAATGATTATAGTTGTCCATTTTTAGCTCATAGTTGATTTTAGTTTTTAAAAGTTACTCCGTATGATCTATTTGTGTTCGTCCGCTAATCAACAAATCCACACGATGAACCCGACCAGGCGACCATGATGAAAATTTGAGTGAAATTTTTACGGACATTTGATAAAGGGTTGAAACATGAAAAAATTGTGTAAGGATGGACGCGGTTGAATCTCATCCTTTAACATTCGGACCGTGATCACCCTTACTGGAATGAGGCTAATTATACCGTAGAGTTCGGATGTACCATTTAAAAGAAATGAGTATTCTGTTTAAAAGAAATAAGTAAATTGTTTAAAAGAAATGAGTATTGGTTATAAATTACGTAGTACAAAATAAGCACAATAAACATTTCAATGATAATATAGAAGAAAAGAATCAAATTAGGTCCCTTTTGCTATTATAAAATCGTCACAAAAGTCATGTACTCAATAAAAGCAATCAGATGAGCTCTAACAACCTATTGACAACCTCGTAATCCCGATTTTAGCTTACGTGTGACTATCGTTTTAAAGCAAATTATAATGCTGGCGTGGAATATTTGACCAGGATTGACTTAATTATAAGGCAAATATAACGACACATAAGTTAAATTCGGGATTAGGAAGTGATCAACGGGTCGTTAGAAGATGTATTTATATGACACACTATTGAGTACATGACCTTATGTGAGTATTCCATAATAGTAGAAGGACTTCTTTGACCCTTTCCCCGTAATATAATGATAATAGAGTTAAATGAATAAGTTGATTTGCAGCATATATATTATGTATAGATCATGATACTTAATTGCATTTTTATAATACTCAATTATGCTACAAACGGAGTGATTTAATATCAATACTCAATTATTTTAAACGTTATACTCGTTAAACTGAACGAGCCCGTTTGGTGACCCTGTTTTTCGGCTTATCAGGCGTATCAGCCAACTTTTTCACCAAACACGTAAGGTTAGAATTATTTTTCTAGTTGCATTGACTGAAGTTATTATAGAAGATCATTTTAACAGTTTTTCATGTACGAGCAGAATCAGCGGAATCAATTGATTTAGTTAATTTCAGTGTTACCAAACGAGCTCTAACACCATATACTCGATTTACCGTGAGCACCGCAAACGGATACGACACACTTTGAACTTTTGAAGTAGCATGGTGCATCTAGGGGTGGGGAAAAATACCGAAATTTTGGTATGTCGGACTTACCATATCGAAAAATTCCGAATTTACCGAAGCGTTTGGTATACCGACACTTTTGGTACGGTATGATACCGTACCAAATTACTTCGGTATGGTATCGGTATATATTTTTGAAATAAACGGTATACCGTTATACCGTCATACCGTAATTCCAAGCCAAAAAATTTCTTTGAAATTATAAAAAATAACTAGAACCACAACATTAATTCAAGGATAATGACTTTATATCCATGTTTCTTGAATTATTTATACTTTTTGTTGGAGATCAATGTTATTTCAAATATATTTATGTTGTTTAAATTATTATTTTAGCAGAATGTGTTGTTATCTTCATATATCATGTGTTGAAGTATCCGTACATATTTATAATATTTTTTTGTTCAAAGTTGAATAGAACACAAATAGGTTATCATTGGTATTTATAATTAATTTCATTAATAATTTTAGTATATCACTTTTAATACTGATTTTCTATATTTCATTTGATATATAATAATTTGATATTAAATCATGATAATTTATCGATACCGGAGCTTACCGTACCGAAATTTTGGTATACCAAAACAAGGTATACCGAAATTTAGGTATGGTAACGGTATGTATTTTTGCATGCCGAAAGTTTACAGTATGATAAAGGTATGGGATAAAATCTTCGGTATACCGTACCGAACCACCCCTAGGTGCATCTGAGCGTGCCAGAAAACCCGGGAGAACTCCTCTCTAACTTTAAAGTTAAACAAATAAATTGTCTGGAATGTACCATAAAGCAAAATATTACGCATAGAGCACGATAAAAATGCAAAGGAGGCACTTGCTGACGCGGGGCCTACTAAATCCAGGCATAACACAGATGGATGTGGGGCCGCCCCGAATCGGACGTGTCAGCAATCCAAATCCGGACGCAGCTGACCCAGCTATAAAACGGGGCCACCCGGTCCGGTGGTGGGGTCAGAAAACGCAAATGGGTTCTGAGATGCCTTTCAATGACTTCTCCGCTTCTCAACCCGACAACCCTCACTCTCTCCTCACTCCACCCCACAATTACCACCTTGCCCCTCCAAGCCCCGCCGCCTCCGCCGAAACCGCCACCTCTCTCAGGATCGGCTCCGTCAGAGATCGCCACACCAAGGTCAACGGCCGCGGCCGGCGAGTCAGGATGCCGGCCCTCTGCGCCGCTCGCATCTTCCAGCTCACCCGGGAGCTCGGCCACCGCACGGAGGGGGAGACTATCCAGTGGCTTCTGTGCCAGGCTGAGCCCGCCATCATCGCCGCCACCGGAACTGGGACCACCCCGGCGGCTGCTGTCACCACCTCGCCGTCCGGGGCAGCCTCGCGCCCTCCGCCGTCAGGTATGGCGCCGCTGGCGACAGGGCTGGCCCAGCTACAGCATTTACCCCTTGCTTTTGCCTTGCCGTCTTCTACCTTCGGCTCCGGAAATCAGATACAGCCGCCGATAGCCAACCCGGTTCGACCGCTCTCGGCGCTTCCCCGCGCCAGCGGCGGGAGCAGATACGTCCACCAAGCTGTGCCAGAGATGGGATTGTTCTCGATTAGTCCGCCGTGCTGCCGGTTTGACTTGACGCTGCCACCGCACGATTTTCCCGGCCACGGTGACCGGGAAATGACGTTCACGTCTATGCTGATGATGCAGACGTCGCCGGCGAATGGTGTGGAGGAACAGGTGCCCCTCGATGATGTCGCCAAACAGTAGATATAGAGCTGGAATTCAATTCAATGTATGTTAGGGTTTCAGAGGCCAGAACTTGATTTTTTTTTTTTTTAGTTGAATTCGGAAAGAAACCGAACTTTGGGAATGATTTTGAATTTTAGACAATCAAACTTTGCAGACAACATTTTTTTATAAATTTAATTTAATTCGCAAAATATAAACTTTTGAGCAAAAAATCAACTTTTGAGAAAACTATTCAATCGTACAAGGAATATACAATTGATAAATAATTAAATACTCCGTATTCCTTAATACTGCTCAGTCCCATTTATATTGTCCCGGAAGAAGGTGACACGATTATTAAGAAAAGTGAATTTGTATGATTGATATTAATTGATAAAGTCAGAATAAAGTAAGAATGATTTAGAGCCACACAAACTTTGTCAAATATGGTATGATACAATTTAAGTGGGACATCCCGAAAAGGTAAAACGAGACAATATAAATGAGACGGAGGGAGTATTCATCAAAATACTTGCAGAAATTGTACAAGTGTACAAACTGTTTTTAATCATATAAAAGCACAATTAGAAATTGAAATTGTCAAAATCTAAATCTTCAAATATGTATAGATGACCGATGACCATTTACTATCAAATCTTTTCTTTATGAGAGGCCTCTGGTCAGGGGCTATACCAGCACAAAGAATATTTGTGAATTTTTTTTACACGGATCTTTTTACACTAAAAATATATATATTTTTAAAATTTGGTTGGGCCAGGGCTAGGGTTGGCCCTCCCTTAGCTACGTCCCTGCCTCTAGTTCAATTAGTCTTGGACCCGATTCGGGCCGCCCGTCCCGTGAACCGGCCCGGCCCGCTACTATGCAGGCCCGGATCGGCCCGGTCCTTCGGTCGCAAAACCGGGCTTTGACCCGAGCCGGTAGGAATAGCGGGGGCGGTCCCGGCTCACCCCATTCTTTGGAACCGGCCTGGGCGGGCCCGGGCCCAATTTGGGCCTTATAGTTTTTTTTTTGTTTTTTCATTGTTTTGGGCTTTTTCCTGAGTTGGGCTGGGTGTTTTGAGGGGATTTGGGGGTGGGGGGGTGGGGGTTCGGGGTTAATAAGAAAAGAAAAATATATGGGCCCGACCCGGCCAAGAGCTGGCCCGACCCGGCCCGGACCCTGTGATAATGTAACACCCTCAAATTTTTACCCAACATAAATACTAATTATATCAAGAATAGAATGAATTTCCCAAAACATTTAGGTTCAAAACGGTTTCAATTGCAGCGGAAGCAAGATGTTCAATGAGTGTTACCGCCACATTTGGCTATCTCTTAACCGAATCACAGGTTAAACCACAATCCCAAAAAAATATCCAAGAATTTAAGTGCTGAAATGTCAAAAACAATTTAATTGTCTAAATGTTTTCAAAACTGAAATAAATAGTAACTAGGTGAATAATAACTAATAAACTACGTGGTCTAACACAGCTCTCATCATCAAGCACAATCATCATCACCTGCACCAAATAAAGTGCAGAAAACATAACAAAGACAAAGAAACAAAAATTAGATTTTTAGCTAAGTAAGACCTACGCAACCCCGTAAAATAATATAATTTGTCGAAATTGTTTTTGTACATAAGTATAATTCAAAAATCAGTATCTTTCCAAATGCTTCACTTGTCTCAAAACATTAGTTACACTTTAGTAAAATACTAGTAATTTCCAAAGCTATCATATCTTAATCAAAAGCATTCATAATCAATCCATACTCATAGTTTTAAAATAATTTATATAGTCACGGGGTAGTAAAATATGTCTTCAAAAACATGCTCATTCTCAAATAGATCTCAAAATCAAATAATTCACTTTTCTAAAAATAACTTTTATAAGCTCTTAAACAAAGGTAGTAAAAATACTTCTCTAAAAAACATTCCATTTTTGAAACATATCTCCATAAATCATTTATATTACAAGTCTCAAAATTTATCTCAAGAGGTGGGAACTCAAGATTCCTCGAGCATAGTGAGCACGTGGGTCACCGCAGCCCCCATGACTCACCCCGCAACTGCAGATCCCACAACTCTCAAAATTAAGGCTGAAGTCTTAAATTAGTTCTCAAAAGAAGGGCAAAACTCAAGATTCCTCGAGCCTAACAAGTACGTGAGTCACCGCAACCCCCACGTCTCGCCCCGCAATTATTGCAGATCCCATCGGTCACAGATAAATGGAAGCTAGACCCCTATCTTAAGTGTGCACACCCTCTAAATGGGATTTCAAGCCCTCCGAGTAATAAGAAGTCTAAGCAGTCAGGATAAGTTTCTACTGACTACTCACAAATAGGATTTAATCCTCACAAAGCAAATTAGGAACTACTACTACCGTCTCAAAAGGAAAGGATGATTACATCTTAGTGTCCGGGATGTCTACCGAATCACTCACAAGTCTCAATAGTTCACAAAAGGTAGTAGCAGCCCTAACTCACTAGCATCCCGGGTTTCTCTGCGGGACACTCACAATTACAAAATCGTTGTTCATAGTTTTTATCAAAATAATTTGATTTCATTCTTAAAAACTTTCTCAAAATATCTCAATCATATTCATATCTCAAAATAGTATGCATATCATATCAAGTACAAAGTCATAGTTCTCAAATTAGGGTTTCTCCTGAAACTAGTTATAAAATAATATTTAATCTCATGTTCAAAATAATCCAATAAGGATAGTTCTAACTCCATAATATATATGTAAATATTCACATAAAATTATACATTTAAAAATATATAATTTGTCTCAAAACAATCTCCACAATATTTCAAGTCAAAATGACAATTTCTTATAATTCACAATTTCGGATATAGTAATTAAAATAATTAATTACTCAAAAATCATACATTACAAAATTCCCAGAAAATCATATCATTTTCAAATAAGTCTATCATAGTCGAGTCACACATAAAATTTCATATAGAATCACAGCTCAAACCCTAATTAATACATAATAGGGGCAAATAGTAGTTTTGGTTGCAATAGTCCTTACCTCGAGGCTAGCAACGAATCCTAAATGTCAAAACTAGATTGAGGAGTCACTCACACGTCCCTATGAATTTATATGATCGAAGGATCATAATTTAGGAGAAAGAAATCGGGAAAACGGATGAACGATGCGAATTAGGCTACAAAAACGCTTACCGGAAGATTGGATTGTTTGATCTCGTCCTTGGACTTAAAAATTATGTTGGATATGTTAATATTAAAGTTCTTGAAGAAATAGAGCTTGAAGAGGTGGTTCTAGGGTTTTTGGAATGAGGAAAATTGGATTAGGGATGTATTTGTAGTGAATTTCCGAAGTTGGGTCGTATTAGGATAAATTGGGGACGCACGACCGTGCATGCCTCCACGCACGACCGTGCGTGGCTGGAAGTAGCTATTACGCTCAATTTTCATGCCACACACGCCGTGTGTGACCCCTAGACGCCCCAAACCTTAGAGTTTGCTCTGTTTCTTCCCCGTTTGCACCTCCCCTTGGTCCGAAACACTAAACCAACCATAGTAAACTATCCCAAGACCATCTAAACGATAAGAAATAAAATTTTAATTACTTCTCAAATTCTCTCAAATTTTCGGGGTATTACAGGTAACTCGGGCCGGTCCCGGGCCTTCAACCAAAAACCAAAAGTCCGGCCGGGCCTAGGCCTGACCCGGACCTGAGTCCATGACTAGGATCAATTCCTATCTAAGTAAGATGAGCAAAGTCTTGCAATGATTCTCCATGTCTTTAGCAACAACCCTAACTATAATCAAATCCGGATTTATCTATTTAGGGATTTTGCAGGATAGTTCATATAATCATGTGAAATTTATCGATTATAGTACACCAAAAAACGTAACCTCTACTTCTTCAACTTGAAATAAATAAATAAATAAATAAATAAATAAATAAATAAATAAATAAGAATTAAATATATCATACTCCGTAGATTGGTTCTTTTTTTGTAAGTAGTTTTTGTGTTGCACGTTGCACGATTTAGCAAATGCCCAATACATTTATAAAAACTGCTTTTTGGGTAGTACTGAAATGATAACAGTAGACTTCCTAACTATTGAAACCAAATAATTTGAATTAGACAAAACAAATAATTTTGACATAGAGATGCTAAAGAGGTTTGGGATGGTAAGAATCACACCAACTTAAGAGGATGGAAGAATATAATAGTCTAAAATTCTAATAGTAGAGGTGTATTCAACTTTTCAATGTGGTTTCAAGTTACAACTTCAAGCAAAGTAGAATAAAAGTTCTACAATGTTCTACAAACAAACTATTCATTGTTCTACAAAGTATACATTTATCAAGAATAAAAGTTTATAAATAGTCGAGTAGAATGTAGTGACTCTTTAGAAACAAGACAAAACCGGATTCAACTTTTTGGAGAGAATGCAAAAAGACTATTCATACAGTATCATCTCATAGAGTACAAATTGTCAACCATTAGCTGGAACCCGAATCCCATGATTGCTGCAAAAAATGACTGGTTAAGGTTCGAGAAAAGGTGTAGTTTTTAGTGTATGTTTGAATGGATTGTTTTGGATACCACCAATGGAAGACTTAGTTGATTTTATATTGATGAAATGTTTAGAAAAAGGAAAAAAATGATTGAAAGTGTATGATCTCATATTTTTCATTTACTCTGTTCATTTTTATAAAATTTCAAAGATACACCAAAGAAATGCAACGGTTCCTCTAAAATTATCCCAAAGAAACACTCCATTAAAACAATAGCTCATGGTGTATGTATCCCTGAAGATGAAAGTATAACAAAGCAATGAGTTCTCATAGATGTATCAATGTATCAAAGCAAAGTCCTAATGGTTGAAGCTCTTCTTGTAGTTAAAGATACCACATCCATTCAGAAATTTTTTTTGAGGGGGGGGGGGGGGGGGCAAAATAGATCACATCGAGACTAAAATGTGAACATATGTAAAGCTAACGTTGGACCATAGAGAAAAGGAATTAATCACCTCTTTATCCCCAAGTGAGTCTATCCAACACAATCACAAATTGTTAATTTGGAAGTTCAGCACTTCAGCTTTTCAATGACACTTTGTATGATAAACAACCTATATTAATTTTATAGTTTTCTACACTCTAATTTTGATTATACATTTATAGTCAATCTTCATTATCTAAACATCTTCACGTCATTCAAATGTTCACATATGATTTTAGGTT